AGCGCAGAGACAGAGGCTGAAGGTGGTGGGAGTGGAACGGAGGAAGGTGGCGGCGCAGGGACAGAGGCTCGCGGTGGCGGCACAACACATGTCGGAGGAGGAGGAATGGACATTTTTGTTTTCTAAGATTCAAGCTTCAACGCTGATAAGGAAAGAGCTGAAAGACGATAATACAGGGGTCTGATCAGGAAATAGTGGTATTGATAATGCATTCGATAAAATACCGTGTGGATTAAGACACATTCTTTACTTCTTTTTCGTTGCATTCATATCAAATGCATAATTTCTCATCATTCTCCTCTCTCCTTTTAGCAATGAATTACTGCATTAGCTTTCATCAGCGTCCTTTTTATTCAGCTCGCCTCGGTCATACAACGCTTTCGTTTTGGGATTATGCAATATTTTGTAAGCTTCAATAATTTGCTGCATGTGTTTCTTTTTTGAATTGGTGTCATGTGCCGCGTTAACATCGGGATGATGAACTCGCACAGCTTGTCGAAAAGCTTTTGATATGTCCTTCGCTGTGGCAGTGAATTCGCGTCCTTTTAACCCCAGCAACTCATAGTATCCTAGGGGATCGATATCCTCCAAATCTGTACGGCGGCGGTTGCGTGCGTCGAAGTGTTTACCCTGTTGACGTGCTTTGTCTCGAGCGGCTTCCTCCTTGACACGCTGCTCAAAAGCCTCTTTCCGGCGGGCACGGCGCCGCAGCTCCTCCCGATACTCATACTCTTGCTTCTCTTCATCCTCAGGGGTCCATCGATACCCTGTGACATCTGAGTTTAGGTTTAGAATTCCGAGTGTCCTGAGCTCTGCCAGTCCTTGGGACTGCTCCCTAAGGAATCGTGCTGTCTTAATGAAGCGATGAGCCATCATCGTCAAGATACCAGCCGCGATGGCGGCAGCCGTTGCAATCCCAGGCTCAACTAATGGTGCGAGCGTTAACAACGTCGATAGCGTGGCAACACAAGAGGTGGTTAATCTTGTTGTTGAATTGACGTGCAATACAGGACCAACAACTTTTCCTGTGGCACCGCACACAAACGCAGGCACTGGCATGTGATTCGATACAGTGGAAACCATTAACTTCATGAGTGGAAGAAACACTGGTCGTACGCCGACCGCTTCCATGAACATAGACGTTAATCTCACGTTACTTTTAAGAAAAGATCCATGAAATTTCTTTAATTCTTTATCAACACGATCTAAAACCATGCGCCTTGAAATTCGCTTTTCAACTACAGAAAGCGCAGTCGTAGTGGACATGGTGAAGGAAACAATCTTGGGAGCTTGCTTCATCCCTTCCAACTCTTTCATCAATTCAAACCTAGAAATTAGCATCGAGGGGATATGCGACCCGGTGATACAGCTTTCCACGACTCGCATGGGCTCGAGATATGAGGCAGATATTTGATTAACTGTCATACACTCATCAAATGGATAGTTAAACTCGTAGAGTGGACCCTCCACCCACACAAAACAGTGTTGTTGAGTCATAAAGGCGGGGTCACGCTGCAGGATGTCAGCCTTGAACGTTCCAGCCACTGCTGTTTTCATAAGCCAGAAAGGAAGCATGTAGCGCTGGACATGATGCACTTCCACGGACGTGCCATGATGGCGACACACGTTATCTAAAGCTTCAGCATCTGATACATGAAATGGTATTCCAAACAATTTTCTGTCAAGAATGGTTTTACTTCGGTCTAGTTGGTTGAGTCGAATAGCAAATGCGGATACGGCCTTTTCCTGGTCTCCTTGCCTCTTTTCCTCAAATAAACCACTGAAATTTCTACGGGATATGAATAGAAAGGAGCTCTCAGTAGGCTTCCTGCGCATAACTAACTTATGCCTTAAAGGTGTTAACCAAGCTAGATTGGCTGTGCACATTGAAGCCCCACCGCTTTATAATGGCGATAATATACGAGTAAAATTTTTGAAAGTGAGTACTACACATTGGAAAATTTAGTTTTTGATTTTTGCGCATGTGTGTCGAAAACATGAGCATGAAAAACTCGTTTCACGTAGTTGAGTCGACTTAGGTGAACTAAATCTTCAATATTTGAAGACGTAGATATGAGCAGCAGTAATAATAGTACATGCATACCAACAAAAGGTAGAGGAATTATTAAGTAATAAAATGAACCCTGCATACACATACCTCATCATCTACACATCAGACATATTTGTAACGTTAAAATCAACTCTTTTTCCGCCCGTCAGCGGAATGGGAGGAAACTCAGCAAGGATTAGAGTCGTTCCAGAGTGAAACGTGTTGAGCTGTCGAATACAAACTACTATGAAGGCGGCTAACTTGCGTGAGAGAGGCACTAGTGGATTTGGGCACCAGTAATGTGCTATCAGAGAAAGGCTTTCAAGAAATATCGTAAAAGTCACTTGATCTGGCATTACGTTGACATAATTTGACTGCAGCATATGCATCATATTGAGTACCTCACTTGAAGATATAAAGCGTTTGGGAGAACTGTCGTTAGTACTGTTGCTGCCGACGTTATTCGGCAGGCTGATGCCATCTGATAGGAAATTGCAGTCCTCCAGCATTCGTAGGAAAAATGAAGATGCAAGTAGAGCAGCGAAACGACCACCGCTCTGCACAGCCATGCTCCGCTCACTGGTTGTGCTAGAGGTCTCCTGCTTCTTGAGATAGAAGAAGAAAACACGGCACAGATCTGTAGAAAAAAATTCAATGACTCGTTGTACCTCGTACTCGTAGAATGCTTCTAGGACCGAGGGCAGGTCACCTTTTCTGGGAAACCGTGTTTGCTCGAAAAAACAGTTTAGCTTTTCTTCTATTTCGCGCTCAATACCGTACTTTGAAGCAGACATACGAACAAGTATTTCGATAAATTGCTCGGGAGTTACATAACGAATATCCATCTCCTGTCGAGCCACGCGAATGAGAGCTTTTTTGTCTACATCGAGTTTACCTTGAGAAGTAAGATTAAATACAGTTGTGAGTTGTGGTGAGGCCACTCGGTCGAAGATATTAGAAACTATCTCTTTCGTCAATTTCTCAGACAAGATCGTACTGTACTCAATAAATCGCCAAAAAGCGAATTCCGACATAGTTCTCGTGTCTTTATTGGCATAGGCATAGAAGATACGAGAGGTTTGAAGGGATCGACTCCTGAGGGCGGCTTGGAGAGGCTCTATGATGGCTTCAAATCGGATCTGTATCTCACTGCCGTGTTGAATATCATGAAGGTTTTTTGGGTTAAGAGTCCAGAAAAGTTTTGTACTGCTTTTACTGAGGTGGGCCAACGGCGCACCGTTGCATCGTTCCCTTTCGAGATAGCTTCGAGCCTCCGATACCATCATTTTATGGCTAACCAGCTCTTGTTCGTAGTTGCACTGAGAAATTGCCTGGTTTCGGAGTTTCCCAAGTTGATGCTGACTTCTTTTGACAAGTTCACTAAAACTGGAAAAATCCATTTCTATCACTGGTATTTCAGGATCAGCCTCTTCTAACTCCTTTTTGAGAGCAATAGAAGCCTTATTGATAGTTTCCTTCCATTTCTCATCGAGATATCGCTCGTAGAGTTCGCATAGTGACTGCATGATGCGATCTTCACGCAAATTGATAAAGTCATCGGGCTCCAAAACAGTTGCTAGCCCGTATGCCTCACATAATTCCTTGATTTCCTGCAAACGATCTATGATATCAATGTTCCGATCAAGCCTCACGGCGGTTTGCGAGAACACGTAATTGAGGAGGATACGGTATACTTCCCCAGAAGCAAAGTCCACACCTAGTGTCACAATACCTTCAGCATTTTCCCCCTTAACTTCCTTCCGAATTGTGTTGCACCAACGCTGCAACAGTTGCAATGCATCTTCCTGATAACACTGGTCTTTCTTCTCATCGGCGCCAAGTTGACCAGCATCCTGGACAATCGAGTGGGGCACAGGTGAAAGTTGATATGGAAGTGGCTGGCGGTGTGTAGTAATTAGTATGGATGAAAATCTTGAGTACATTGATACAAGCTTCGAAGCTTCCCGCGCGCTACATGCAAATTGCTTTTTGTACTCCCCTTCTCTCTCTATTAGTTCACCTTTAAGGCTTTCCACCAACGCCTGAAGCTCTTCATTTTCTCTTTTAGCTTCTTCAAGCTCTCTTTTTGACTCTTTCGTAGCCTGAATTAGTCGATCAGCACGGCAACACTGCAGCTGGAACTGATTTTTAGCATTTTCTAATTGAAAAGCAGATTCATGGAGACGCTCCATTAGAAAAGTGTTTCTTGACAGCTCCAAAATTAGCTTCCACTGATAAAAGGCGGCAGATAGCAACAGGCGTGAGTGCTCTTTGATGAAGCGCTTCATTTTATTTAGATTTGTTACCTCCAAGAGGCGGTTCCGTCGAGCTAACATGTGCCATGAGCGAAAGGCTGTCTGCAAAGTACACCTCCGTCGAGACGTCATTATTCTTAAAATGTGATTTCTCCTGCTATCGTTAGACTTTAATGCCCGATTAAGGCTAGAATACAAATTCACCAGTTTGCGCTCATTCAGATCAACCTCCTCCATGAGCATACTGTGAGAAAAAAAAGGATTCCACTTCACTAAATACTCGTCACCCAATTGTACCTTTATGATTTGAGGCACCTTAGTTAAGCGAGAGGGGTCGTAGTGATAGTATACAGCCGGCAATATCGCTTCTAAAATAAAAGTCAGTGGACCATTAGGAACCTGGGTGGAGAGGAGGTTGAGTGACCAAGTGGCCGCAGCAGCGCGCAACACGGGGCTTGTATCATCTCTTTGTTTCAGTTCCCTCATCATGGTCTCCACAAATATTGATATGGATTGGCAGCACCCCGTCTTGGAACTTACCTGACGAACTATTTGTGCATAACGATGGCGGCTAATCCTTCCTGCTGTTTCTTTCTGTTCATCCATTTCATCCTGCATCCGTTGAAACATTTGTGAAGCTACATCAGAATCATTACTTTTTGAAGTTTGGTGGGCATATTCTCCTTCTCTTAGCTGGTTAATACTTGAGAATTTGGCTGACTTTGGTGTTGATATAATTATGCGACTCATAGATCACAGGAGAAGCTACTAAAAATGATGACTGAACAAGGTGGATGGATGCAAACTTTACTCTTCTGTTGTTTGGAGATGACTGTAGCAAAGAAAAAATATCGCTTAGAGATTTTTTCCTTCCAAAGAAAGAAGCATTTACAGGTCATAAATTCAGAGATGTACAAAAAGTAAAAGTAATTGATTGAAAATAACGACATACACCTACTGTACATAGCTTCTATTACGCAAGACGAGCCTGATTCTTGATGCGTTCATAGGCAGCAAAGGAAAGGTCACACTCTAGGCGAACGGGGGGATTGTGAAACCTCATATTATTCAGCGCTTCAATGATAACATCAATTTGGTCTCGAATTTGGCTATAGTCACAATCATTATGGGAAAATGTTTGTCTCGAAGCAAAATCCTCCTCAGTGCAAACTTCGTTACTATTGGACATTGGATGCATCTGAGTACTATTAACGGGCTCTATTTCTACTGCGGAAAGATCCCTTCCATCGCTATCACTACTAAATTCTTCCTCTGGAACATCAAAGCCTGCTTCGTGTTGCGATGTTGAGTCTGATACAGGGGAAAAGGAATCTAACATGGTGGGTTCGATGCCATTTGCATGGTTTGGCCACCTACGATTTTTTGCTTTGCTGCGACCTCGCACCGGAGGGTTCGTCTTTGTACGTGTCTGCATATTCCTATTCACACTATGTAATTGGTCTTCATCAATATCGCCTGCTTGAGGATTAAAGCGGTTGCGTGGGGAGCTAAATATTTCAAAATCATCGGCAATGTCCTTCCTTTTAAGCGACTTCAATGTGATACGATTCTTTTTTGCATGAAATATATTCGGCATGTCTTCCGCCAATCGTGATGCGACGGCACCTCCTCTAGTACCTTTCACTTTGTTTCTGCCCCTAGCAGAAGCTGACGGCTTATTTGGTATCAGACTGGCTGCCTCTTTTTGCTTTTGATCGAAATACTGCAAAGCATCCTTTTGGAGTGCAACCAAACGCAAAAATGCTTCCTTCGCAGAGGGCGTTGGGTTTTTGTCCGGATGAACATGAACAATTAACTGTTGATAATATTTCCGAATAGATTCTACAGATGGAGTCCCCCGCAGCAAGACCCTCGAGGTGATAGATGGGTCCAAAAGTGCTTCGCATATGTCGCTGTGGCGGTAAGGAAGAGGTACACTTGTCGGATTGCTTAAAACGCGACATATACGTGCCATTTTACTGTATTTTGGATTCGTCTTTTCTAATGATGCAAACAAGTCAGTGGCACCCGTCAAATCACCGTTTTCTAAGCACTTATCTGCTAAGTATTCCATGTTTATTAATGCATACGCTCACAGTTAACATGAAATGAAGCGAGTTAAGGCTAATGTGGTTTGCAAAAATAAAAATAAAAAGAATAAGCAATTGGGAAAAAAACACCTCTGTATCGCAGCCAATCATCTTGTACACTCAAAACATCTGATTTAAGGTGGGATTTTTGCACCTCTTGTTGATAATTCAAATGCGTTACTGAATCGTAAATATATTCTCTTCGGTAGTAAAGGTATCTTGAATAAATCAATGCATGTTTAAACAATGTGATAGAGCATTTTTACTCCTTTAAAACCAGCGCCGGTTTCGATCAAACTGCTTGCGTAGGGAAGCAGCATCCTGCGCATCTTGACCGTAACGGGTTCCGTCTTTGCGCATAACGCCAACCACAATGAATGGATGGTTATTAAGCGAGGTTATACCATCTCCCAGGCGCACTTCAAAAACAGGATACTCTATCATTTTCGTCCAATCGAATTCCTTACCTTCTCTTTCGCGGTATTCACAACGATATGTAATTTGTAGCCAGTCATCTGAAGACATTTGCCCCATGTAGCAGGTTACAAGAGCGAATGAATCAACCACAATTTCGTATGTGTTGCTCGTTTCGTGTTGTGTAAGGGCTTTCCAGCTCTTATTCACAAATTCTTCATTAAGACGATCTTTGATGTCCTTTGAAATTCGATTAGCTTCAGCATGCGTAGTAATACGCTGTAGTGTTCTAATGCTATTTTTGTTCTTTTCGTGTGAAGCTACTTTTAGTTGGATAAAAAGATCCTTTAGCTGAGTGGCGTTAAAGTCGGGACGACGTTCCATGAGTTTTCTCATAGTAAAAAAACGGCGAAATGCCTTCTTTATACCGGAAATTGAGGTGTAGCGGATTGGTTTTATATCAGGATCCATAATGCAGTCCATAGAGAGTAACTTCATTTGCTTGGACCATTGTTCCTTGTCAAGGTCGTAATCGGTACGATACTGTGCCGTAGTTTGCGAGTCCATCTTCCAGCGAGTTTGCACGCTTCGACTAATATTTACATGTTTTTGCTGAAGAAGAATACATTTCGGAATAAAGCACGCCACATTCTGTGTGTTAAAGCTGGTTATCCTTCGGAACATTTTTATTCCAGCCTTTAACGCCACTAAAGATTCTAGCTATTCAGTTGAACTACTTTGTGCTATATGAATCTCAGAAGGGAGAAGAATAGACGCGGAATAATCATAAATATATCTTAACTATTTAATGAAATAATGCATAATAGGTGGAAATGAAATGAAAAAGAGACAGTGTAAAGGAATCCCATTGATTTGTAGGCACCTTTTGCACATTTTCACTACACTCACTTCATCTTATAAAGTAAAACAATAATAAACTAACCCGTTTGAATACATCGTAAAATCCAATCAAAGATATCTCCTATTCCATATCCATTCCAGGAGTCGGCTTCTATAACTTGTATACCAACCGCCAAGTGTTCTACTAACAAGTACTCCGATACCTCGTCCTTTGTAAAGGCGTATGGAGAGGCGCATTTTTGAATCACCACTAGGGTAGGCCAGCTGCAACAAATACCTGACGGGCCATGTTTCAAAAGATGAAATATGTTACTGGCCATACACAACTGATGAGGAGAGGCGGCATCCACGATATATATGAGAGAATATTGTGTAGATTGCTGAAAATCCTTCAGAGTGCGGTCGCGAATAAAGCTTTCCCACGAGGCTGCTGCCGAGCCGCCTAATTCACGTACCTCAATATCTACGCAGTCAGTGCTAGAGGGAGGGCAGACGCGAAGCATGTGTATTTCTTGCCCTGAAGTCGCAGAGACTTTGCATGGTCGACAGCGAATCTGATCATCACTATAAAGTTCTAGATTATTTAAGAAATCTGTTTTCCCGGCACCTGCTGTTCCCAACACATATACAACGTGATTTACTGTAAGGCTGGTGCGTTCGTAAAGAATCGGCTGCATTGCTTAATATCATTTCCTTTCTGACTTTGTTTTTAAGAGACTCAGTTACATACCGATGTCGTGTAGTGTAGTATTATATATATATATATATATATATATATATGCACATTATTAAACGTATGCATCCCATTAAAAGGTGTATATCAAGCATCCCTTTTCAATGCTATGGGAGCTATTTCTTACTTTTGGCATTAGAAGCAATCAAACAAAAATTATAGCCTTCTCATGATTTCTCTGAGACACTGGCCGCAGTAATGGTACAATTAATAATACGGGCCATTGTTTTATCAACTTTAAGAATTTACATTTATCATGGATAATTTTAGTTAATAAGCCAGCTAGTCTCAATTTTCATGTTGAGGTCCCCGTTTTCACTTTTCAACTGAGTTGTAGTCTTTCGTGGAGACTCAACTTGAAGCGATTCTTTAAGAGGCTGTGCATCAGCATCAATAAGTGACTTGCTCAGAAATGGAACAGGTGAATTGATTGTCCTAATCACACTTGTGCGCACAGGCCTACGCTCCAATTCAATCGGAAAAGTGTTGTCTATGGTCTTGTTTACATGGGGAAGTTTAACCGTTTCGTCATTCAAGACTTTTTTACATTTATTTATTGGATTTACATTTATTCCATTTATTGGCTCCAAATGCAGTGTTGTTTTCGATTTTTTCTTCTTTTCGCAAAACACGATTTTGCCACTGTTATCGATTGTAAAGTAATCATCGTTCCGGTAAGTTGAGGTCGGCTGAACAACGTGTTGCGTGCTGTGGAAAACTGGTGCCTCGTGAAGAAAATGATAACGCTGCGCTTCCTCCTCATTGTAGTGAAGAGATTGAAGCTGTAAAGTAAGATTTGTAAGGATGTTGTTTTCTATTATAGCTGCTCCTAAGAAATTGTCATCTTCCTTAGATTGAATTTTGGCCATATGATCCTTCCTGTTGATAGCAGCTAGCATATGCTCTTTTTTCTTAGTCTCCCATACACGCTGTGCGGCGCGTTGTCGTGCTATGCCGGTTTTCGAGATGTCAAGGTTATATTTCCCTACAACATATTCATTCGCTAGTTTTAAGACATTTGTAATATCTGATGCATTGTCGAAGGCTTGTACGGCGTCTAAAATAACCTTAGGTGGGCAGTGCAACACCATGACACTCGTTTCGGCAAGAATAAGTTTTGGTGCGGTCATGTTCAGTAAAGACTCACAAAAATATAGAGGTTCACCACACGAGACGTGTCTTGCATTCTCACTTATCTTGCCAAATGCGCATTTTCCAACAAGAACAATAATACCCCCTTTCAGTACTCCCCCAGACACAACGCGTCTACCAGGTGGGTATACACGAGCCTCTAAATCCTTTGCTATGCCGTCCAAGCAGTCGTTTGAAAGAGGAGCAAAGGCAACCAACTTTCTAAGACAGCCAGTAATGTCAAGACGGCTCCACTTATGCTTAACCATTTTCGACGCTAACAGAGCGCAATTCAAGAGACCAGATGGGCAGCAAAGATCATTTAGATCACTAATATTAATTCCCCATAAAATGCAAAAGCAACGCGCTACAGCCATGTGATGATCGCCGATGCAAGAAGGTACAGTATGCACCATGAAGCTATCTAACCCAACGTGAGAAGCACACTGATCGATAACTTTGGTCTCCTTTGAATTGGATGACGTGATGCTAACTTGGCCGCTCTTGAGAAAGTAAACCATGTTCGAGTTATATACATCGGTGCAAATAATTTCGCCTTTGCAAAACAAATAAGGTCGTAATTTCATCCATGCTCCTTCTACATTTCCAGTAGATAAACCTTGTAGAACAGGGTTATAGTACATAATGTCTTTGAAAGATGGTTTTTCGTTACCCTTAGCCAGATTAGAGCAGCCTGTCGAACGAGCCTTATCTAGGGCAACTTGACGTGTGTGTGGCTTTAGGGAAGCGAACTGTGTTAGAATCGCATCAAGTGGTATATCGAGTAAAACTGATTCAGATCGACACCGCAGAGAACGTGGTCGTCCGGGTGCACCTAGAAGAAGAAGCTCTACATCAACTAATTGTCCTGGCCTGTAAATATGAAGATTTCCAAGCAGAAGGTCACGAGAAATACTAACCGACGCCCCCGCTGTCTCATCCTGTTCGAAGTCTCTAAAGCGAAACCATCTCAAGGGGTCCGCTTTGTGATATTTAGACTCATTTACCTCCGGAACGTACAGAGCAAGTGCCCTCATTTCTTTTTTTGTCGGAATATGGCTAACCCTCCCAGAAACTACATAAAAAACTGATAGGTGCTTACGGGGTTCTCCTTCCAGTCCCACTACCCTGCCATCCGAAAAGGCTTTTAACGTAGAGCGTTCAAACACATTCTTCAAAGCGACTGTGGGCCAGTTGGAAAAGAGCCAAGTCTGACGTAGGATATTTTCATCTGGAGGTGATGAACGTTTGGACAGTTTTTGAGTGAGACGCTCGTCACGTTTTTTGGATGCGCGCAGTAGTAAGATAGGAAGAAACAACTTCTCCAAAATATGTCTGCTCTTCTCGATTCTTTCAGGAGTCATCCTAAACGCACTGGCGTCTTAAAGAAAGAGGATAATAGGGAAAAGGAAGGGAAACTCAAAAAATAGAAATCACTCAGATTTCATTTATTGAATTGTTTAACAACAGAGCAGCACTGTCACAACAAAGGATTCGATCGATAAATTTAAGAGGAAATGTCAAATCGAGAAAGGTTGAACAAGCTTAAGCCTGATATAGAGAGGAGTTTGAGATGTAGATGCACGAAGGAGAATATAAAATATAAATTATCACAAAACACTATCTTAGCATTTATCAAAATGTAGTTGTAGTTTCGTCATTAAAATCATCTAACTCATCTCTCGATAAATCAGTATCTTTTACAGTATCTCGGTAAAGGTAGACAGCCTGGAGAACAGGATAACCACCTTCTAGCAACGATTCCTTGAGACTTTGCCATAACATCTTTTTATCGGGATTCGGCTCACTGTCCGAACAATCGTGAATTTCGTTTGAGTGGGCGCTACGGCTAGTCTTCTCATGCATAATACAGTTAAATAGTGCCATCTTCCGTGTTTGCATTTTCAGAATCGATCCTCCTTCTAGCCAAGAAGCCAACCGGTAAACAGTGACAGGCTTTTGTTGATTTCGTCGGTAGGCCCTTGCCACCGCCTGAGCATCGACTTGTGGATTCCACCATGTGTCAAACAAGATGACGTGGTTGGCTGCAGTGAAGTCTAGTCCAAAAGCAGCAACCTTTGTAGATAGCACTAGGGCGACCATCTCGTCGCTCTGCGAAAATAACTCAATGGCGTACTGACGCCGGCCCTGCGAGTCCCGACCACGAACCGTGAAAGTGGATATTTTATAGGCTGTGAGTGTTCTGTGAATGATATCTTGGGCTCCAATATATTGAGAAAATATGATTACCTTTTCCCCTTTTGTTTGAACCTGCTGGACGATTTTGATGAGAGCAGTTAGTTTACCGCTCGAGGCAGTAAAGAGATCTATTTCTCCATTTTGAACAATGTTGTGGTAACGTTCCACCTCAAGGAATTTATCCTTAGAACCGCGGATCGAACTTTCACCTCTTTCATGTCTGGTACTTAACTTAGACAAAGATTGATATCCTCCAATAATATATGCTAAATAGCAAAGAGGATGCGCAGATAGGTGGGAGGGGCGATGGTCAGTTGCTTTCATTATGCCTGCGTCTCTCCTGACACCGATCTCCTTTTCTAGGCATCGCTGAGCTTCCGAACTATTGCAAATCAGTATGTAGTCGTGTAATGGGGGAAGGTCAACTTTCATCTCACGAAATATGAAGCCCTTCATCCAATCCTGAATGAACTGCTGAGCTATCAGGGCTTTTTTAAATAGATTATCATCACCAGCCACGTATCTGCTGATATCATTTGCAAAATCATCAAACAGGCGTTCTGGAATCACTTTACAAATCTCTCGATTCACCCAGCTGACCAGCCGATATAGCTCTTTGGTATTGTTTTGCAATGGCGTCCCTGAAAGCACGACACGCAAAGGACACTTGTACTTTGAAAGTGATTCTATAAGCTTGTTTCCCTTAGTGGCCACTCTGTGACCTTCGTCGACAATAATAATCTGCGGATCAAATCGTTTGAATCGCTTCGAAAAAGTGGACATCAAATACTCTGGGTTGAGAATGAACAAATGGCCTTCCTTACGTTGGTCTCCACTTAGCTGTCTATCAAAAAGGTTCAATTTTTCATCAAACTCCTTTGCGTCAGCACGATCTGAGGCAACAAGCCTGTTGAATTGAAGGCCATAGCTTTCCCACTTCTTTTGCTCCTGTACCCAATGGCTGATAATTGGTTTTGGGGCAAGAACAAGAATGTCACGGTTGGGATAGCGGAAGAAATAAGAAAAACAAAGCGTGAGTGCAACTAAGGTCTTACCAATTCCCATCGTCATAGCAAGTACGCAACCGCTATTTCTGCCTCCCCGCTCTGCGGCGAAGTTCAGCGCGGAGAGTTGGACTGGTGCAAGCCTGTTGACGAGCCCCGCAGGTACATACAGCGGCGGTAGAGTTTCATCGACTCCATTTATATTAACAATCGATTCTAGCGCTTGGGCGTTTGCTAGCTTGTCTACGATGAGTCGATTGAGATGCTTACGTCGCTCTAGTTCACACACAGACGACATTAAGCCGTTGCGAAGGTAGCAGACGACACTAATTCGCCTCCAGGCACATTCTGGATTTAGCACCTCTGTGTTGCCGTGCTCGAGACTCGTGTCGAAGAACAAGACATCTCCTGTCTTTAAGCGAAATGCCTTTTTGAGTGGTTTAATTGCTAGATGGCAACCATCAAATTCCCCGTCTATGACGCAGAGGGCACCGAGCCCACAGCGAAAATCACCACTGTCTGTGTGCACAGCAGTCCTGAAGTTACGATTAACCGTCATAGTGCTAAAAACGCTACCAAATAGCTCAAAATGCGGAGGAATTGCAATGCGCTGGAGACTGTAGTGCACTGGGGCACGGGAGCGATACAAGTTGTCAAGTGATTGTATTAGGCCTTTACAACCGGTCATCACCTGACTCCAATTTTTACGCATGAACTGAGTCTCTCTGCATTTGTGTTGGGTTGGATTGGTTAGATAGTCATAGTATCCAACAATACCAGTTTCCGGAGGTGTTCCACCATTGGTGGCAGCTCTCAAATTATTCCGAGTAGCAGCGGACTCGAGCGTGCGAGAAGCGGTTTGGCAAATACTCGGGCTAATGCCACCTGGTATGTAAACTGCAGCTAAGCGTTTCTTTTCATCCTCACCGTTGTAAAACGTGGAGCTGTAAGTAACAAGTTCATAATCACTTTCGCTCAAGTATTCAGCTTCTTCACCCGCATCGTCCACCTGCTCCTGACCCGTCAAGTCTTCCCCCACTTCCTCGTTTTCTTTTGTTGATTCAATTGCACCTCGTTGAAAAAGCTCATCCAATTTGACCGAGCTAAATGGCTGCCAACCGGCCTTACCTTCAGTCGATTCATTAATCGAAAGCCCTGTGTTGGGGTAATGAACTCTGTGCCCCAGTTGCTCGCTGGCGGGATTCGTTTCTTGTACAATATTTGGGTGTAAACGAAAATAAATAGTCTTACATAGCAATTTAATTTGATCGATATGTAGATAAGGTGTATATGCTACTAACTTCATAAAGTTAGTTTGTGGCATCCGAACGACTTTAAGGCAAAGCTCTGCGAGTCTTACTACGCAATCCGCTGGATGATAAAGCGCATCACGACTATAGGATTGAGAATCAAACAAAGGATACTCTCGGAGGTAAAGGTTATATCGCATATTGGCGCGATCTACATCGGTTTCCAAACGACAGTAATCCTCACATATTTGGATTAAATCGAGCTCTTCCACTGGAATAATTGGGAAAATAGTGATTCCTCCGCTTGGAAATGCCGCAATGCGTAGGGCGCGGCGCCTTACCTCATTGACAAATGTCTCTAGGTCACCAAGCAGTGAAAGCGTGGGGCAAACAATGGGCTCCCCAGATGTCTGCACAATACTTAGAACATTAAACAATAGCTCGTTGTTACCAGAAACGCCGTTAAACATGAATACTAATAGTGCTGCAATTCGTCTCTATTTCTAATAACGAGAAATAAAATAAAACAAAGATTTTTGTTACTAAAACTTTCTAACAATAAAGATATAACACATAACAACGTGCGCAAAACGGAAAATGCGTCAGAACAGCAAAATGGAGAAAAACCCCAAGCAACATCCAATAAAGGTATGCCTGCTGATGTCACTGAAAGTTACTTGATACTATTACTCATAATTTAAACGTGCTCTCCACCTAGGGTGGTAATGGTTCCAGTTAGATTTTCGCGCTCCAAGGACGAAGTGAACTCTGTATCACCATACATTTTGACAAGAAACGATGTTTGAAAATCAGCATTCATATTTTTTTGATAGGTAGAAATATCACTATCATTTTCAAGCTTGCAATGCATATCCATATCTTTCACAGCCTCGACATTATTCGCTAATGTGTCGTCGAATAAAGCAGTTGAAGACGTCAAAATATCGTTAGATACTGATGCTTTATCCATAAACACCTGAGTTGCCATCCTTTCGTCACGTTGCTCCCGATAAGAAGGCGCAAAATTTGAGTAGTCATGTTTTGGCCGTGAAGACCTACGATTGCAATTCTCACGTTCTAGCAAGGATACTCCAGTATGTTCTTCTCCAGTATCCCCACATGGAAGCAGTTTTGATTTTGGTATGGGAGAAATCAAATAGCTTACTCCCATCCTCATCCACGTATAGGCAAATGGAAACATTTTAATTAGGAATAAAATAGCCATGAAGTTGGCAGTGACGAAGACGAAAAATTTAACTGCATGTTGTTGCCAGAAAAGGATTAATTTACGTCTCATGATGTTGAAGTGCGAAAAATGTGGCCCTTCATGCGACTGTTGTTTGTTTGATTTATCGTTAGCAAAATTGATGATACGTTGATATGCAGTTTCAGATTTATGTTTGAACTTTCGAAACGTTGGTTCTCTCAAAGCTCGTTCTACACCTCTTTTCAAGGCGCTCTGATACTGAGAATTTCGTGACAGTATATTAAGAAGTTGCTTTTGAAGTAAAGACCAAGGAAACATTTTGTTTTTGTAAGCAATAACTCATCTACTCCCTACTATATACTAGTACCAAAATTTAAGACGTTTATGCTGATAAACTGTGTACTTTTGGAACATTTTAGTTTGAACCGATTTCCTCATATTTGGTAAGGATAAGAAACTACTACACGTTTCTGACCGTTAATCCTAGTACATTTGTTGTTAAGTGTGCTCTGAGACAACCACTTATATTTTCTAGTTGTCTCTTCCACAGTTAAGCTGATGAACAGTATGTTCCATGATCACTGAATACTTTCTCAATTTTTCTGAATCCAAGTTCATGCAAATAGTAGAAACTCGATGCATATTGCTAATTAGTTGCTAATATGTGTATGCGATCAAATGTCTATATAGTTCTTTAAAGTAACACCAAATAGTTATCCTCCTAAAACTGTATATCATGAAAAGGTACAAAGCAGCGAAGGTGAACAAGGCCTACTTTCCACTTTAACATATTTTTGTCTTGGATCTCTTCAGCTTTGATTTGTTAAACATATCCAAGGTCAGAATTGTTATCTTCTAGTGATTCAATTCCAGCATTCGTTGTAGCATTTCATAAGTGAAATGGAAAAGCTTGATCGGGGGATTTGATGAATTTGACTGATTCAAGCAAATATAGAGAAAGAGATCACTTCCCATAATCTCCAATTTCCATATAGAATGACTTTGAACGACCCTTCCGATGGACTACTATTTGAGGTTCTATAAGATTGAGCATAGACACATAACAGCGTACAGCATTAAGCCTATCTTTAATGTGGAACATCGAAGGTAAGACTTAACACTTTTATATTCACCTCTTTTGTATATTTCAAATAAAACGAAAATGATCACGATAGATCAATTGTAGCTTTAGTAATAAGCGCTGGATTGAGGCTCATATTATCAGACTAAATATTGTCATCATTGCATTTTTCTCATTGAGGTAGTAACTCAAAAGCGTTCGTGATATGTAAGCCCCATCTCAAATAAAGTGAAAATAGAATCATTGTCCCATGCTGCAATTAGCTTAATATTTTACCTTACTATAATAGAAAAAGAAAATACTTTCTCCTTATAATGCTTGAAGGTTGAACTTAGGATACCAAAATCACATTGGCAAATATTGCTGTGTATAGAACTTTATATGAGATGTGTTCATTTTGAAGTATTACTGCAATTATGAATGAATTATTTTATCACATCATCTTTTTCAAATAAATGCATAACAAATATGAAATGAAAGGTGAGAGAAGATAGTAAAGAATTACTAAATTATGAATTCTTATCATCTATACGAAGTTCGGAAAGCAGCGTACATTTTTTCAGCTTTTTAGATAGTAATTATTAATCTTAAATAATGCATTCTTAATTAATGTGTTGAAGTTCCATTAGGAAGTATTATGTTTTGACATATTTTACCCTAAATATGCATATTATTCCTTATGTTCTGATACGCTTAGTTCCTAAGACATCATTAACTTCAGAAATCAGTGCTTCGCGATTTTTAGGGAGTAGTACATCGTACGGGTTAAAACCCAACTCTTTAGATCTATTCACGATACCTTCCACTGTTTTAAAATAAATTTTAATACCCGATATACCAAGGACTTTTACGCAGTTGGCTACGCGTGCAACATTGCGCCGAACATCTACATCATCTTGAATGCGATTTTCTGAGCTATTATCAACCACATGTTTCGTCATCTGAGTAACCCATATGTTACCATTCATTCCGACAATAAGCTGAGTATTGTATTCAGGAAGATCAAAAAATTGGTGCTTGGCACGCCTTATGTAAAAGGGAGGCACGCAAACTAAGTGACCAAGGGATGTCAGTTTACCATATTTTTCTGTAGCACGCGTATGAACAAATATCACTCCATCTGGTGATATGCGTTGGACCTCGGCCACCACAAGGTCATTCTGGTCAAAAAGTTGATGCATACTGAGCTCATCGCTACGACCTCTACGCCTCAGTATACCTCCGGGCTCTGCAACATTGGACAGGAGCATAACTCCATCATGCGTAGCATTAAGATCTACAAGCCATTTGTTTCCAGAAATTTCAGTAATCCTTCCAATCACAACATCTCCAATCTCTGCAAGGTAGCGAGATTGTCTTCCTTTAACTGATATAACTCTCTCTATGATCTCAACGCGTCCACTTACCGCTGCAATGATTTCACCGGTACCCTGAGACGTAAGCGCCGCGTCGGTTGGGTTTCTGCCACTGACTGTGTTGAATCCACGAAGATAGACTTCATCAGATGAGCTTTGAAACTTCCCACCGTTCCTACCCCCTATAATAGAGTCTCCAACAACTACAATCGGGGAGTTCATCAATTCTTAAAATTTACACAAACTTTCCTGCCTAAGTATATGTTGCAGGAAATAACAACTAAAATGATACTTATACGAAGATTGATAGTGGTGAAAAAATAGTATTATTGAATTATATTTATCTTTAATCTTGTATAAAATAATAGAGTAAAACATCAATATCAAACATAATACAAATTAACTCATATATAAGTTGATAAGGTTAAACGTGAGATAATTTGCTGAAACCTTTAGAGATTAACGCCACATTTACTATATGCAAAAACTAGTTCCTTTGATACTATTAAAAACTTCTTAGCTTGAAAAGAAGCACTTAATTATTTGAAAGCACTGCTGCTACATAGGGCGTAATGACTAGTGACGAAATTGAAATGAAATCACAAATCCGTTTTTATACTTTATAAAGCTGAAGATTGTACAACACAAATCCCATAGCTTTAATACAAAACATAAAGAAGAGACAACTATTACCACTGCTGCAAAGAGCCGATGCAAGAAATGATTAGAAAGTGTATTCCTTTTACAAAGGTTTCTTGCGACCCGAGATGAACAGGTAAGGGGGCAAAGGAGTGCCAAATGATCTAAACATCATAATGTTGGGAAAAACACTAGACACTGGGATATGGCGATCATTACGGGAAGCCTTCCCCAATAGCCCCCGGGGGCGCGCACTGCAACGGTGCGCGCCATACCCCCCACACACGCACTTTGACCGGCAGAAGTCGGACACATACATGTTTATGTTACAAGGAAAGGCCAAACTTGCGGTTTACAAACGCTTGAATCGCAATGAAAAACATCCCCCCCCATCGATGTTTACTCTATGCTTAAAATACTCCTTGCGCATAAACCCTGCTATCCCATTTTGAAACCGATGGCCCGCCCCTTTAAAGCAAAGCCGTTAAAAACTGCCCCACTTTTAATTTCTAGATAGGCTGATGCAACAGTTTATATAACCAGTGGCATCTGGACTTTCCAAAATTATTTCAATTTCACGGTTGATTGCGAGCGGAAGATGTCAGAAACGGTGCCCTCGGGCGCATAGAAATCAACCCCGCTATTTTTGGGTGGGGCATATCCGTCTTCAAACGGTAACCTGCAGCTAAAAGTGCTCTATTGACTACCGAGAATAAAATAACTAAAATACTAAGCGATAAAAAGTACAGAAAATTGTGTGGGCCGGGCGGCAGGTTGGGCGCGTCGCGTGCCCCCTTTTTGCCCCGCCCAGGGGTAAATTCCAAGCCCTTGGACCGAGATAACCCCCTCGCTTGGGCAAATTCTAACGACTATTTCTAATGATTACCCATGGCTGCCCTTTATTTAACATAAATATAGTATGCGGGGCGCGAGGAAAGCAGCAGCCCCGCTGTGCCAAGCGGCTCGGGCGCTTGCCGAAAAAATGGACCAACGCCCCGGCGCCAAATTCAAGCGAAGACATGCATAACATGTAAATATAAATGAATTTTATCTTCTATAGTAGGACAATTTGAACCAATTCGCATCTACATAATCAATTTTAATTGGTGGTATGGTGCTGGGTATCCCACCGCTCCGCCGCGCCCTGTTTTGTGTTTTTACTGGGTCATTTCGTTCCGCCCTGTGGCGCTTTTAGTTTAGCTTAGTGGATTTAGTAAAGTCTTTTAAGTGGTTAAACATAGAAAAATAATATATTTTTTCTCCCGTTCAAGGCTATTATTCAGAAAGTCGGATTGCACTTTGCCGGGGATCTTGGCGGTCGGGTTGCCGGTTCCAAAACCGGGGCCATCGCTTGCAGACTGCGAGGGCCCTCAATTTTTACGAAAATCAGATATATAGAAATGATGTCTATCGTTTGGTTAAGATGGCATCATGCCAAGCAATACCAAAAATGGATCGAAGCAAGTTTTTAATAAAATGTGACGACTATGAATCGTCGAGGCGCCGCGGCGTCGGCGGCTTGCGTGTGTGTGTGTGGTAGTCGGGGTTCCCTTTGCGGGTCGCGGAAGGCATGTGGCTTCTGCACAACCCACGGTAAAGACTACTTTAAAAGACTAAAGTTATACAGTCCAACATTTTTCACATCATGTTT